CCTCTATTTAGTACAACTTCCTGCTTAGGAATGAATTTGGCTACTTCTCTTTACCTTTATTTTAAAAAAATATGCTTTCCCGTAAGTGATCATTTTCATTAATTAAAGGCTAGAACTTTTGTCCAAATTATTGATATTTTATTGTAACGTATATTTTTAAAAATATAGCAGCTATCCTTGCAAACTGGTAGCCCAGGAGCTAAATGCAACCTACAAAATTTGCTGTTGGGCAGCATGTTGGGGGTCATTTATTTGCTGGCTCTTTGCGTGTGGGGGACATGCCTGCCTTCGTGTCACCCACTGGCTGGCTCTGCTCCCTGTCCCTCCTCCCCTTTTCCTGGGACAGGCACTCTTGGTTCAGCACAGCCCTTCCACTCCCTGTCATTTACACACAGCCCACGTCACCCAGCCAGTTGACCTGCCTGGCTGCTGCAGATGTTTGAGTTTCTGACCCTTCACTGAAGCACATTCTCACCTCTGCTATTTTAGGTCACTGATGTCTAGTTCCCCCAGAGTATACAGTCGGTACTGACTGAGGACCCACTGCGTATACCCTGAAAACTCCTCTTCTTTCACTGGTCACTTTCCCCACTTTGAATATTTCTTGCTTGGGAAATGTGTTTGTTTGAAATCTCCCCAACTCCTTTACAAGCCCTACACATTCTTTGACTTGGAAAACTAATGTTTTAGCAATCTTAGATATAGCAGGAACAACTTTCCAAACATATCACCGCACTAAGCTTTTCCATTATGAAAATTTTCTAGCCAGCAACCTCCACAGAATCCATAAATCTGCATCTCTTTCTCTCACAACCGGTCAACCTCCTCTGATCTCACTTTCTCCTCCACGCCTGGGTGTGCTCAGAAATCTCAGAAAGCACCGTGAGTTATGGGAGTCCTTACTCCTGCATCTTCATCTGAATCAGGGGCCACTGCACAGCCAATTGCATGGCCACTGCACAGCCTGCTTGACTCACACCCATGACAACCATCCAGGAAAGATAAAAATCTAAGATCTTAATGAAAGACGCTATTTAGGTCAGACTCAATTCCTGGTTTCGTAAGTGGGGGGATTGTGGCTCAGCAAGATTGACTTTCTTACTAAAGTCATAGATTCAGCAACAGAATATGCCTAGAATCTAGGTCTCCTGATCCACGTGCAGGGTGCAGTCCGAGTCTGCCTCACCAGTGTGCCCTGCCAGACTCCTTCACCTTATGTCGGGCCCTGCAGAAGCCTCCCTGCCTCTTCCCCCTACTGGGGCTTCCATAAAAACAACCAAAAAAAGCTCTCACAGCCTTGAAACTGACCATATCCTGCAAAGCAGTGTAAATATACAAAGGGGGTATGCAAGATGATCCATTGAAATTGGGTAGAAAATTCCAGAAATGCTTTCTTTTAAATTTTTGTCATGTTATTTTATTTTTGTATGTTTTATGATGTATATGCTATATTAATTCAGTAATATGTGTATGCATCTGATTTGCAAACCAATATTAGAGTATTTGAGAAAACATTTTGGGAAAAATTTTAATATATATTTATGAGCCCACCCCTGGAGATGCTGATGTTTAAAGTTAGGGTTGGGGTCCAGGAATTTCTTTTTTAATAGCCAAAGTAATTCTGATGTACAGAGAGATTTTGGAACCACTGCTCTAAGGTCTTAAGAATTTCTGACATAAGTAAAGTTAAGATGTTGATAAAGTTGGCTATAGGAGTGGAGATAGTGATAAAGTTGGATACAGGCATCTAAGGAATACTATTTACCTTAGGCCTAATGAAGAATAAAGTAACATAACTGAAAAGCAACATATGGACCATGGTCGCCAATATAGACTGTCAGACAAATGCCTAGACTGCTGAGTCTGGAACTCTTCCTTTTGTGATCCTTGAATTTAGTTAAGTAAAGTCTTTTTTCCCCACAATTTTTCTGACATTAAATAAAGAAGACAGATTCCAGCCAAATCATAAAACTGCATCCTCTTAAAGATTGCAATTCAGGCTTCATTTCTATATTCTCTCATTACCTTTGTGACTGCTCTGAGGACTCCATAGGCTCTGGTTTCATTCACATTCGTTTATTTTTTATTTTTATTTTTTGAGCCAGAGTCTCACTCTGTTGCCCTAGCTGGAGTGCCGTGGTGTCATAGCTCACAGCAACCTCAAACTCTTAGGCTCAAGCAATCCTGTTGCCTTAGCCTCCTGAGTAGCTGGGATTACAGCCACTCACCACAACGCCAGCTGGTTTTTCTATTTTTAGTAGAGATGGGGTCTTACTCTTGCCCAGGCTGGTCTTGAATTCCTGAGCTCAAGCAACCCACCTGCCTTGGTCTCCCAGAGTGCTAGGATTACAGGCAGGAGCCACCATGCCCAACCACATCCATTTCTTTTATATCATAAATCCAACAGTTGGAGAGTTGTAAAATTTATTTTTGCCTGATAATTGAAAATTGTGATCTAAGATGTTGTTGGCGATTGCCTCTTAGATTCAGTATCTTGAAGATGATTGCAAAATATAAGTGGCATAAAAATTAGACTTCACAAGGCCCAGTTTTTATAACCTCTTTTAACACCTCTTTAAAGAGGTGTAGTTTAGTGGTAAAAAAAAAAAAAAATTAAAAAGCAACTGCAATCTGTTTCAAAATTACAACTATACATATCCTTTGACTCATACTACTACTTCCAGAAATTATCTTATAAAAACACTTGTACACATATTATTGAAGTATTATTTGCAACAACAAAACAGTTGAGATGGGCTGGCATCCCTCAGACATTAAATAAATAGTACTTTAACCCACAAAGGACTATGCAGTGGCAATAGAAAAGAATGAGAAAGCTTTTTACATACTGATTTAGAAAGATCTTCAAAATATGTTATTAAGGCTGGGCACCTGTGGCTCACGTGGCTAAGGTCCCTGCCACATACACCTGAGCTGGCAGGTTCGAATCCAGCCTGGGCCCGCCAAACAACAATGATGGCTGCAACCAAAAAATAGCTGGGCATTGTGGTGGGTGCCTACAGTCCCATCTACTTGGGAGGCAGAGGCAGGAGAATCACTCAAGCCCAGGAGTTGGGGGTTGCTGTGAGCTGTGATGCCACAGCACTCTACTGAGGGCAACAGCCTGAGGCTCTGTCTCAAAAAAATAAAAAATAAAAATTATATATATATATATATATAATTAAATGAAAAAACAAAGAACAAAATAGCATATGCTACATTTGTATTTCTAAAAAAGAAAAGAAGACCACACACCAAAAGAATCAAGATGAGGTTATTCCCCCCACCCCCCACACCCGCCCCATGCTTAAATACTTCAGGTCTGGAAGTTCCTCCTAAACCTCCTGGTCTAAACATCTTCTGGGTGGGCTCTGTTTCATAATAACCCAGTTTTTTCTAGTTACCCTATTTGGTCAGAGATAGTAACTAGTTTCTAAGGTAGCTATTACTATCCCATGGAAAAAGGAGGAAATTGAGGCACAGTAATGGAGCCAGGAGTGAAGCCCACATTTTCTCACTCAAGCCTGAGCTGTTTTTTTTTTTTTCCTTTTTTCTTTTCTTAAGAGAACAGGTCTCACTTTGTTGTCTGGCCTCGACGCGAACTCCTGGACTCCAGCCTGTCCAGTAGTTGGGGCTACAGACACACTGCATCTCTGAGCCTTTTTAAAGCATAGCACAATACTATTCACAGATGTTAACATCTAAATTAAAATTGTATGGTTGACACTGTGTGCTTTAAGCAAAATGAACATGGTACTAGGGGAGAAAATAACTCAAATGACAGAATTTAGTTGGTGGGAGTAGGAAGGTGGTGTCTAAGAGAGGCCTTTCTGAGAAATTCACGTTTCTGCTGACACCTAAAAGAAGACAATGGTTAGTGTGGCTGAGGGTGGGGATAGAGCATCTTTGGTTTGTGCAAACGCTCTGGAGTGCAGAAAGAGCTGAGTGTGTCCAGAAAGGAGGTGTATGAGAGTAGAGTGGCTGGGTCATAGTACATGGGGAGGAGGAGGGCCATGGGCTGAGCCTGGAGGGTGACAGTGATCACTCAGGGCAGGTGGGCCAGGAAAAAGAACTTGATTTTTCTCCTTAGCGTATCAGGAAGCCACTGGAGAGAAGTGGTATGATCTAATTCATATTCTACAAAGATCACTGGCTGCAGCATGACAACAGAATTTCAGGGGGGAAGAGGGAGTGAAGAATGGGCAGGAGCGGAAGCTGAGAAAGTCATGGTTATTCTCATAGTTTCGGGAAAGGGTGGAGAGGTGAACCAAGATACTGCAGTGGGGTCAGAAGACTTGGTCAGATTTCAGGTATATTTTAGAGGTAAAAACAACAGAACTTGACAGCAGGTTGGATATGTCCAAATGCGTTCCTTGGGTTATGCACTACCAAACAGCCCCACTTAGCAACCCAACATACTTTCTGGATCAAGACTTGTGATAGTTCTGCCCTTCCTCACCACCACCAAAAACCAAAGACCCAGGGTGGAGAGCTGGACTTCTTTGCCAGCAGGAACAACACAAAATTCTCTGCATGGAGAATGGAGGAGGTAGATTCTGTGGGTTAGTGAGAACTTAACTATGAGTTATGATTTTTTTTTTTTTTGAGACAGAGTCTCACTATGTTGCCCTCAGTAGAGTGCCGTGGCATCACAGCTCAAGCAACCTCCTACTCTTGTGCTTAAGTGATTTTCTTGCCTCAGCCTCCCAAGTAGCTGGGACTGCAGGTGCCTGCCACAACACCCAGCTATTTTTTGATTGTAGTTGTTATTGTTATTTGGTAGGCCCAGGCTGGAATCGAACCCACCAGCTCTGGTGTATGTGGCTGGCACCCTAGCTGCTGAGCTACAAGCACTGAGCCTGACTTATGATATTGTCCGTGAGCAAATGGATTTATAACCAACTTAGAAACGGGCTCGCTGAACATTATGTATTTATAAGCTAGAATTCACTTTATAAAGAAAAATATATACATTTTGCCTTTTGTTTGTGTTTTCCTAGGCCTGTCAGAGAGTTTTCCATGCCAAGAGGAGCAAACACTTTTTGCTACTGTGTTAAAGCAAATGTGATTGTCACTGGAGGTAAGAGGACAGTTTATGATACACAAGAGATTTTTCTGTTTTGCAAACAGTGCTCTCCCTGAATTCTGCTGCTGGAAAAAACCTATTAGGGAATGTAAAAATTTGTATAAAGTCTAATTTGTCTGTCTTTTTCTTTCTGGCTCCTGGATTTGATGGCACACTCAGAAAAGCCTTCCTTGCCCCAAGAATATATGAAACAAATTTTCCTATATTTTGAGCTGGGCGAGGTAGCTCATGCTTGTAATTCTAGCACTTTGCGAGGCTGAAGTAGGAGGATCCCTTCAGGCCAGGAGTTTGAGACCACGCTGAGCAAGAGTGAGACCACTGTCTCTATAAAAATAAAACAATTAGCCAGGAGTGCTGGCACACACCTATGGTCCTACCTACTTGCTAGACTGAGGTAGGAGGATCACTTTAGTTGGAGGTTGCTGCAAGCTATGATGATGCAACTTCTCTCTAGCCAGGGAAACAAGAGTGAGACCTTGTCTCAAAAAAACATTATTCTATTTTACCATAATTCATATTTATTTTGTTTTTAGAGCTTTAATCTATCTGAACTAATTTTTCTGCGTGAGAGCATGAAATTCTAGGCTTTAAAGGAGTCCTTGAGACCCCTAAAGCAGAAGGACACTGTATGTCTATGTGACTTTTTTTTTGCAGTTTTGGCCAGGGCTGGGCTTGAACCTGCCACCCCTGGTATATGGGCCCGCGCCCTACCCCTTGAGCCACAGGCACCGCCCAATGTGTCTTTTTCTAAAGAGAAAGTCCAAAATTTTACCAAACCCTCAAAGGAAGATCGTGACTAAAAAGCTCATGTGCCAATGGTTTAGAGCTAACAGAGACCAGGATCATGGCCAAGATCTTGAAAAGAACTCACATTTAAGGGATAAGTCAGGTAGAGGCTAAGAAACAAGGTTATTTTCTGAGACGAAGGGGAAAGATGACAAAATAAGAACTGAAATTTCCATTGAGACTCAGACTCCTCATTTATAAACCTGAGGATTAAATACAGAGTGAGGCTTTGAGCCTGGGGTCCGGAGTCACACCACTTGGGGTCTAATCCTGGCTCTCTCACTTGCAAGCTGTGTAGTGGGCAGGCTGTTAACTCCTCTGAGCTTCAGTCTCATCTCTAAGAGGAGTTGATAATTGTATTGACCTACAAGGTTATATAAGGATCAAATTTATTCAAATAAAGTATTTAGCACAATGCCTTGCCCATAGTAAATGCTTCATACATGTTTGCTAATGATAATGCTAAGAAAATGATACCTCCTATATATGGAGATGTGTGAGATTAATTGGGAGAACGTGTCCTTGATACAGCATCTTTCTTCCAAGATGGGGAGGTTTTGTTGGGATAAAATGGAAGCTGAGATCCCAGTTAAGTTACTGTTACAGAGGACGTGAGCAAGATGGAGAGGGTCTGAATTATCATAGTCACCTACGATAATTCTGGAAAGAGAAAAGGGCAAGCCAGAGTCAAAGACGTGGAAAATGAATTATTCATCAGACCTGGAGACAGAATAATAAAGGGGATTAGTAAGAGAGATTAACCAGCTCCGAGTTTTTAAGAGAAATGGAAGAACAGTAATTGTGTTGATAATTATATAGAAATCAGGAAGAGGGTGCCTTCAGTGGGGAAGGACAGCAAATGAAAGCTCCATTTTGCAACTAAATATTAAGTGTTTATTAGACAACCAAGAGGATATTCCTTGTGATGGGAGAAGACCTGATTGGAGATGAGGGATGTTAGGGCTCCCCAGGTTGCCTGCATCAGAAGAAGATGAGCTCCCAGAAGCTTCTCAAGGAGACCAGGATTGCCTGACAAGAGACAGGAGGCATGCTGATTTGCAGGATGTAAAGGGGCAAAACAGAAGCACAAACAAACAAACATCAAGAAGGCGGCTTATATTGGAAAACTGAACTTTTAAAAGGGAAAGAACAAAAAATGACTTTAAAAGAGAAGAAAACTCTCTCATAGAAAAAGTCAATAAATTTACCATTGGCAAGAGAGCTTAGAGCAAAAATACCCATCAAAGGCGCCAAGATGTATAATGAGTAAGTGCTATTGGCTCCTTCTGTGTAAGACTTCTTCAAATTCCCTACCCATAAATACACACAGGAGGCGATGTTTGGCTTCCCACCTAGAGTATCCTGCCTTACCACTTAAGTTTCTATATTGCTAAGGATAAAGAAAGGCAAGCTTCTGCTTCACGGCTAAGTAATCTCCTCTGAGGGCATAAAGTTAATTTTTTCAAGCACACTACAATGGGAGCAGTCGTAGCCCGGCCACTAATTAACTGCATGATCTAATCAATCACTTAATCTCTCCCTGTTGCTCATTTTCCTCATCTGGCAAGATCCCTGTGAAACTAAGACACTGTGATTTCATTCTTTAAAGAACTGAGTGTTCTTAGGGGATGAACTAAAAATGTCCTTTGGAAAATTTGGAACGTGGTTTGCCAATGAGATGCTATTCAATTTTTAGTCACAGCCTTGTGCACTCAAGAGAAACAGGCATTAGTTGACCACAAACTTCTAAAATTTAACTGAGGACATTGAGAAAAGACGGACGGCATATGGATAAGAAGTCTGCAAAGAAGTGTGTAGGAGTCGTGGCTGAGACAGGGAGCAAGGTGATGATGGTGATGATTCTAAGAACGAATTGAGTCAACTGTAGTAATTATGGTTATCATTTGAAGATCTCTAAACTCTAGAATGCACAAAGGAATAAATGATAGAATTGGGTATTTTTAGAAAAGAAGCTTGGATACTTGTGTCACAATTGCTTAATATCATTGACCCTTCCTGAGTTGATGACTTACCGTGACTTACCACTTCTCATGGAAATGGGCATGTTTCCCAGGCTGGCCTGTGGTCAAAGGAGGCCCGGGAGATGCAGGGGAGCTTGGTGGTGATGAGAGAGGAAGCATCAAATAGTACCTGAGAATCCAACTTGGTGACAGACACTGCCCTCACCACTGCATGGGTTCAGTTAGGTGAAACTATTTGCCTTCTCTCCTTCAATGCAACCCCCCTCCCCCATGAAAAAACCCTGTGAAAAAGCAGTGCTTATGCACATGGCGGACATGAGTTCCGATTTCTAAAATCCCATTACTACATTACTCTTAACCCACTCCTGTGGCCAGCCCTTTGTTTTCACACAAAAGAATACAAAATGTTAAGAACTGGTCAGTTTTCATATACATTGTAATCTTAATATTTTAATCGCTTCTGGGGGAAATGTATTTGGTAAAGTGGTAGGACTAACCCACATCAGTGTTTCTAGAAGAAGGCATTTGGCTTTCATTAACCTCAGCATTCGGTGTAAGACTCTCACCTACAGCTTGGAAGCACACTAATTACAGGTCTTCTAGCTCTCTTATGGAGGTAAGAAAGCATTTAGCAGTACGACCAACAAGCAATTAATACTTCCCACCATGAATAATGTATTGAACTGTCACAGTTATGGAGCCTCTATCAGGAGAAAATGCAAATCCTCGATAACTAAAAACACATTTGCCTCAGGAGAATACTCGTGTCGATTAAGCACTCAGTCAAGCACGTTGTGAAATGTACAGTGTGTACCAGCTAATGGCTCAAAATATAAAATGAAAGCAGCTCTCCTAGGCATAGCTGAACGTGTTAGATGTTGCAGGGACATTTGATGAGCTTGAAAAAAACACATGCTCTCACAGAAAAAAAAAAAAGCCAAATCAGGACAAAGTATTTACAAAAAAACAAACAAACAAACAAACAAAAAAAACCCTTTATATTTCCTATGTATTATTTTGGCGACCATCAAGAATTATTCAAAAACAAAAATAGAACTTTTCTATCCAAAATAGAACTTTTCTCCACTAGCTGTTTTAAGAATTAAGCCCCTAGTACATACTGTAGAAGTTTCAGCACATAGACACAATTATCTCCCATCCTAGGTACCTTGGGGGTTCCACATGCATTTCTTGTGTTTTATCCAACAAATATTTTTTGCATAACTATTATGGACCAGGCACCATATAAAGATCAGCTTGTCTTCTCAACTTTCAAGAATTCAAAGTCTGAGAGTATAACTAAGACACATCTATAGATAACTATAATACAAAGTAGAGATGATTCAGCAGATGATGATGATGATAGCAGTACCAGTAATGCAGGTGGAATATCATGCCCCTTTCTGCTCATCCTGGCTCCAAACAGCCACCTCATGAACAGTATAAAGATTCCATTTCTACCAACAGAAGTGAGCAGCACTGGAAGACTTCTGGTTGTAAGCAGCAGGGAACCTCTAGAAGATTGTTTTTACCTACAATGCCTGATGAACGAAGCCCTTAGTTTAAGAGGCCTGACCAATTTCCACGTGGCAGTCCTCTATTGCATCTTTCTTCATGTGATACAAAAGTTAACAGATTTTCTTCTGGGGATAGCCTGGTCTCATCCTCTGGAAACGATAATGCCCATTTCAGGGAACCCCTCCCACCCTCAATGCCAACATTACATGGGACCATCTGTGGGCACAAGGCTTAGGTTCTGAGCACATCTGAGTAATACGATAACTTCTTGGTCATTGCCAACGAAACACAAATGCAGGCAAGATACTACATTACTGGAATTGTTCCATTTGAATTATGTTACTGAAACTCTCAGGGAGTTTCTCATTACCTATAAGAATTCCAGAATGTCCTCTACTGTCAAGGTAGTAATCTGTCCCTCCAGAACACACAATTATAAAACTTTAGAACCAGAAGGAAGCTTGAAGATCAAAATTTTACCCAAGGAAATCAAGGCTGCAGAAAATAATGTGCCACAAGTCACACAGCTTGTCAGCAGGCAGAGTTGAGACTGAATCATTTCTCTTCATTCCCACCCAGGCCTGTTTTTCCTCCTGGCCACAGCAATCTGGTTCACTAGTGCTCTCGCTGGCTCACTCTCTCCCTGTCTTGTTTTTTTCTGTGAACTCAGCCAGCTCATCTCATCAAGAGAGATGCATTTAGATCAAGTGACTCAACAACTGAGATAACAGCTTGCTAAAGGAAAGAAAATCCTACCTTTGCTGTGGCTTCATCTAAATCCTGGCTTAG